AACTAAGGGGTACCTTATTTGGGGTCCTTATAATAAGGATCCTACTATTTAGGGCATTATATTAGAGTCCCCTATTTTCTGAAACCCCAGTATCAAGCTAGAAGCCCAAACCCCAATCCATCCCAAACTTTAACCCTAAACCTGTAAGCCCATGGGATCCTGCAAACCCGCAGCACATCCTCTACCCTGTAGCAAATCAGAAACCCCTACAACAAGCCTTTTGAAAGCACTCAACGTAAAGCCTCAAGCTCTAGAGGTTTAGAGCTGTAGTAGAGCCTGATGATGCCTTGTCAAGTTCTATCATGCGGTTTAGGGTTCAGGGTTTATTTCTAATCCCTGTAAACCCTAAACTCTATAATCCCTAAGCCCTAAACTCTAACTCCTAAACCCTGAGCCCCAAAGCCAATCTTTAGGTCCATGTCCTGGGAGTTTGTGGATACCGTCGCAGTTGCCGAGCGCTGTGCCAGCCTGTGTGGTGATCCCGGGGACCCTCGCTGGGGGCGGGGGTTTAGGGTTTAGGGTTCAGGGTTTATTATTTAGGGGTCGGGAGGTTTCGTTGAGAAAAGGCCGTTTGTTGCATACCTACTAGTTTTTTGTGACGTTCTTTTGTGGACAGGTTCTGTTTGTTTAGTTTTGCTTTGGTTATGTCTTGGTTTGTTCTTCCGCTAATCTTCAAAATAATGAATTCATGAGTCTACCTGTCTGTAAGTAACTGGACGGTTTACATAGCAATTTATAATTGTAAAGGTAACTGGAAGTTTACAGATCAACTGCGTAGTTTTTAAAAGTTTGGACTAAACCCTAAACCCTAAACCCGAGGCCCTAAACCTTAAATCCTAAACCCTTCATGGGCGACGGGGGTCCAGGGCTTGTAGGGTCTGGGAATCGGGGCTTTTAATGTGGGGCTGCGGGGTTACTGAGGCTTGTGTATAATTCTGAATGGGGGTGTGAGGGTTTGGTTCAGGGTTTAGGGCTTAGTAGGGGTTCATAGACCTTTTGCAGCGTGTCCACAGCGTTTTTGCTAGGGTCTGCCGGGTTTTGGTTGGCGCGCACAGGGGCTTCATATAGGGCCTCAATAATTACCTATGCTATTTTGGGGGGACCCCAAAACCTTCTATTTATTTAAGCCCCTATATTATGGTCATAGCGGCTTACTGCGGCTTAGAAGCTTTTGCGCGGCTTTTGTGGATCGTTAGAAGTTTCGGGATCGGTGTTCGGGTGAGTGAAGGTTTTACGCCTAGGGTTTAGGGGTTTAGGGTTTACGGGTTTAGCGTTTAGGGTTTAGGGGTTTAGGGGTTTAGGGTTTAGGTTTACGTTTTAAGGCACATGGGGTGACTGGGCAATAGGGTGGCGCTCCCGGTCATTTCAAACGGGGTCGGAATGAATACCGACACTATTGCTTCGTACTGGTTTACCATATCTACAATGTAACATGCCCCACAACCCTATTCTACCTATCAGGACGCACAACTTGGTTTGCCACGGTTTTGTCTGAGGGCTTAATGTTCAGTTGCTAGTGTAACCCCCCAACCCCCACCCCCCCAAACCCTGAACCCTAAACCCTAAACCCTAAACCCTAAACCCTAATTTCCGGGCCTGAAGCCCCAGGCAGGGGGGAATCGTGATTATTGGGTGGGGGGTCCGAGTACTGCCTGACAAAACGGCCTCAAGTGCTCTGTTGGGAATCAGGGACGAGAGTATTCGTGAGTTCCTGGGATCGGGTTTTACCATTGAGGGGGAATTCATAGTTGAAATCTGGGGGTCGAGTTTTATGATTGAGGGGGGGTTGTTAAAGAAACCAGTCAATATGAACCGTAAGCTCTAAACCCTTGACCCTACACCCCTAAATCCAGCCCCTTTGTCCTAAACCTCTCCCCTTCAGTCATGAACGCAAGAGGAATATTGGTAGGAATACAACTAATAGCAATAGTAGAAGTAATATGAACAGTAACAGACCCAGCACCTCTGCCGGCAGGAGTTCTTCGAGATCTGGCAGCTTTACAACGAGGACGCCGGACGCGAACTCTTGCCACACAGATGTGACGTATAAGCCATAAACCCAAAGCCTAAGCCCAAAACCCTAACCCCCAAATCCTAAACGTACCGGAAACACTAGGCCGTAACCGCGAACGCCCAGGCACGATGCCCTACAGCCAAGCCTTTTTTCCCGATGCTAATATCGGATTCGTAACGCTTCGTAGTAGTATCCCTTACAATCATTCTTTCATGATTTCTATAATGTACCTAAGCCGTATAAACCATAAACCCTGAAAGCCTTACGCCCGAAACCATAAGCCTAAACCCTTACGCCCTAAAGTCACAAACCCCACGCACGTATTTAACATTGGGTTCCAAAGCCCCATGCCAACCATTAGAGCCCCTATGTAGGATCCCTTTGCAGGATTAAAGGAAGCCTCATAGATCCTTCTGAAGGACCCCTAAACTCTACACCCCTAAACCCCTAAACCCTCTAAGAGCCCTAACCCCTAAACCCCTGAATCCTTAAACCTGAACCTTAAACCTCTACCTTAACCTACCATAACCTACTTTTTTGTAGGTTCTTATTATAAACCTTAATATGGAATTTATAGGGACCCTACAAAAAAGTAGGTTTTGGTAGGTTAAGGTATGCCCTGAAGCCTTAACCCTTGTAGGATCTTGTCAACGGAGCCCACTCAAAAGCTGCAACATGCGAGCTGTCAGTTTCCCGCCCAGCGGCTTAGGGTTTAAATAGCGTTCAGGGTTTGGGGTTTAGGGTTTCGCTTGTTCCGTTTTAGAGCCTGGGCACCTCCGGTAGCCTAGTTTGGAGGCTTCGGGTTTAGAGTTTAGGGGTCTATGGCTACGGTTTTGGGGTTTGGGGTTTAGGAGCTTGGGGTGTTAGGGGTTTATGGTTTAGGGGTAAAGAGTTCTCCATCACTACCAGTCGCTGCTGAGAGTGTCTATGTAGTGATGCTGTACTCAAAATATCCCCGAACACCCTCTTTGGGTCTAGGACATTTTCAGGTGGGTAGTTGCCGTTATAGGAGCCTTATAGAAGGTCTATATACCTTATGGAAGCCTTATAGAAGCCCTATATACCCTAAACTCCCCACGTGTACTTTCCTTTAATTTAGAGGATTCCTTGTTCAATATCATGAACAGGAGGAAGTTTTCGGGCTTAAGATGCAGGGAACCAGGGGTTGATACGGGTGGTGATTATAGGGGTTGACTGGGTGTTGGGGTTGAGGGTCTAGGGGTTTTGGGCCTAAAGTTTTGCGCTTTGGGGTTTAGGGTTTAGGGTTCTTTCAAGCCTAGAAACGGTACGACGTTGAGCCTGAATACTTCAAGTAGGGTTTGGGGTATATAGTAGCACGACCACAAATAGAAATTCGCGACTCATCTTGCTATTATCTCAGACGGTTGCCGTTCCGGTTCGAAACACCCATAGGCGAGACTCGACACCTTAAAGGGGGTCCCTATGTGAGGAGTACCTTCTTCAGGGTATATCCTAATCCTCCGTTGAGCTGCTTGCTCACAAATACCACGAAGAGATGGACACATTCGCCGTTACAACGGCTGCTTCCCGCACCAGCTACATGGTCATATTTTTGGATATGACCTGGCTGGAAAACGAGGCGTATGCCAACATGACCCCCGCTGATACCGGAAAAGTCGTGCCAGGGGCGATGATATGAACAATTTTGTTCAAAGCTTCCTGGAAGTATTTTACCGGATGCTGGTGCCTCGCCATGCAGTCTACCGCGGACCACCTGGTCCAGTCTACAGCTGCGGGAAGCCGAAGCTGAGCCGTTTGTTGTGTTCTTAGTTCCCCAATACCCAGCCTTTGGACTTTTTGGGTTCTTATACTAATTTTGTAGGGGTTCGGGTTTAGGGTTTAGGGTCTAGGGTTTAGGGTTTAGGGTTTAGGTTCTTATAACTTAGTAGTAATCTCAAAGTTTAACCTTTTATTTCCCTGGCTGATTGGCGAAGTAAGTGTTTCTCCCACGTCTACCCTGAATCCCCTAAACCCTTCAGTTCGGATGGCGAGACGCCTTAGTCAACAGCCGGCTTATGGGTTTCCCAGGTGCCAGGTGGATCACCTTCTTCTACCGTTTCGGGATGTTTCAGTACTTGTAGAACCCAGATGTTAACCTTTACATCCTGACCCCAAACCTAAGCCCTAAAACCCTAAACCCTGAACCCGGCAGGGTTTGATCTACGAGTCGTGCACTTTCCGAAACGTATTGTCGCAGTCGGGCCGAGAAAGCCGAGCTCTCTCAAGAGCGAAGCCCAAATTCTCCCAGAGCCCTGAAATCTGGGTTATGGGTTAGGGTTTGGAGCCTCAGGATTAGGGGCTGTAGGGTTTAGATTTTAAGATTCAGCGAGCCCAAACCCCTAAGCCCAATCTCCTAATCTCTATAAACCCTGCACCCTAAACCCCAAACCCTAAACCGTATAAGCCCTAAACCCCAAACCCTAAACCCTATAAGCCCTAAACCCTAAACCCCAAACCCTAAACCCTATAAGCCGTAAACCCTAAACCCCAAACCCTTAACCCTATAAGCCTCTATAAGCCCCAAACCCTAAACCCCGGAGCCCAACCAAACCTGTGTCCAGAACCTGGATTGCCAATGCGGTACCTGGTTCCGCACGGGCTCCTTGGACATTGGGGTTTACGGCTATACTGGAGTCAGGTGCCCTAAACCCTAAACCCTAAACCCCTAAACACATAAACCCCTAAACCCTAAACCCCTGGGGAACCTAGTGCTTGTAGCCCCTAATCTTTTAACAACTTGGGTAGTGGTCTAAATTAGGGTTTTAAGGGTTCCTCAAGGGATCTATAAGGGTTTCCATAAGGCTTCCATAAGGGTACTGTACGGGCTCTATATTTTGTTGGGTAGTTCTCTAAATTGGGGCACCTTTTAGTTAGGGTCCTTTTAATAAGAGTGCCGTACTCTATTTGGGACCTAAAACGGGACCCTACGTTAGAGAACTACCCACCTATCTGTTTAAGGACGAATATATAGCAGGAAGTCTTGATGACGAGCACTGAACATGTAGGTCCCAAGAGTGGATCCAGACTTCTTTACCCCCTAAACCCTAAGCCCTAAGCCCTAAGCCCCAAGCCCTAAAACCCTAAAACCTTAAAACCCATTGACTTCAGGAGCTCTAAACCCCTAGATCCTAAACCCTAAAACCCCCTAAAGCCCTAACCCTAAACCCTAAACCCTAAACCCTAAACCCCATTAAGATGCATTGACTTCAGGAGCTCCCGGACTCCACTTAAACAAAAACCCTAAAGCCCCTAAAACCCCCAAGACCCCCCAAAACCCCTAAAACCTAAAACCCCTAAACCCTAAACCCTAAACCCTAAACCCTAAACCCTAAACCCTAAAGCCCCCTAAAGCCCTAAAATCCTAAACCCTAATTGACTTCAGGAACTCCTGGACTCCTTGCACTTGGCGGACCTGAGCCCAACTCGGCCCATGTTTCTGGCGCCCCGGGCGTCGATTCCCCTGTAGGGTTTAGGGTTTAGGGTTTAGGGTTTAGGGTTTCTGGCGCCCCGGGCGTGGATTCCCCTGAAGGGTGGTTGGGGTTTGGGGTTTAGGGTTTAGGGTTGTAGAAGGTTTGGGGTTTAGGGTTTAGACTTTATAGGGTTTAGGGTTTAGGATTTAGACTTTAGGGTTTGGGGTTCAAGATTTGGGCTTTATGGGTTTAGGGATTAGGATCTAGGGTTCGGGGTTTAGGGCTCAGTGTCTAGGATTTCGACTATCGGTCGGGTTGGGACAGAGGTCGGTTGCGTTGCGATGGGCTTGGGAGTTTTGGGGTTCGAAGTGGCGAGGACCATAGGCTCATGTTGTAGCAATTTTGGGCTCGAACTACTTTCCTGCTTCAGGATGTCTTGAGGGCCAAATGTGCCTTGCTGTGAATTTTGTACGCAACCTTGAACCTTCTGGGGTTTATGCAATCCTACTTGGAGGGTCAGGGGGCTTAGTAAGTCCGTTATAAGTAGGGCTATAACTGGGGTAACTCCAGTAAGGGTACTTATAACTTTACTTATAACCTACTTACTAAGTCCCCTGGGCCTCCAAGTACCACGGCTAAAGGTTAGCCCTCTGTCGGCTTTGGTACTCAGTCCCCAAGAGAAAGGTCCGAAGTACGCCAAAACCCTGCGACCCTAAACCCTAAAAGCCTAAACCCTAAGACCCCAGACCCTAAACCGTAAACCCTAAAACCCTAAAGCCCTAGACTCTAAAAAGCCCCAAATCTTAAAAAGCCCTAAACCCTAAAACCCTAAACCCTAAAACGCACTAAAACCCTAGGACCCTAAACCCCCAAAAGCCCCAAACCCCCAAGAAACAGGTAACCCTAAACCCTAAACCCTAAACCCCAAGAAACAGGTAACCCTAAACCCTAAACCCTAAACCCTAAACCCCAAGAAACGGGTAACCCTAAACCCTAAACCCTAAACCTCAAACCCCAAGAAACAGTTAACCCTAAACCCTAAACCCTAAACTAAACCCTAAACCCTAAACCCTAAACCCCAAGAAACAGGTCCCAAGACGGGCCAATGTCGATGCAACACGGCTCTCAGGCGACGAACAGCCGAAACTCCTCGGAGATAAAGAGGCAAAGGGGATCCTGCTCCAGGGGTTTAGGGTTTAGGGTGTAGGGTTTTAGGGGTTTAGGGGTTTAGGGTTTAGAGGGTTTAGGGGTTTAGGGTTTAGGGTGTAGGGTTTAGGCTTTAGGGGTTGTTTAGGGGTTGAGGGTTTAGGGCTTTGGGGTTTAGGGTGTAGGGTTTAGTGTTTAGGGTTTAGGGGTTGACGTTTTGCTCTGGGGCCTTTATCGGGTTTGCAAGGCGTTTCTTTTGGGTTTGAAGTCTTTTTTTCTGTGGTTGTTTCGTGGGTGGGTGGTTTAGGGGGGGTGCGTTGTGTAGTGTGTTTCGGTAGCTTGATAAGGCTGTTGTCGACTTTCTGTCGGGCGTGTGCACGGAGTTGGGGGTTGTTAACTTCGGGTACTGGGTTAACAGTCATTAATGAATCATTATTCAGACCCAATGTTTTAGGCCGTCAGGGGTTGCTCATTTAGGGAGGCACTTGGAGGCCCAGGGGACTTAGTCAGTAGGTTATTAGTAGAGTTATAAGTACCCTAACTGGAGTTACCCCAATTATAAGCATTATAAGCCTACTTATAACCGACTTACTAAGTCCCCTGAACCTCCAAGCAGGGCAGAGTGTCAAAGGTTGACGGGGCTTTTTGGGATGAGGTGGCAACAGGTTTTATGGCAGCAGAGTGGCTCTCGGGTTGAGGGTTTAGGGGTTTGGGTTTAGGGTTTAGGGTTTAGGGGTTAGGGTTTAGGGTTTAGGGTTTAGGGTTTAGGGGTTTGGGTGAATGAATAAGGCACCAGGAAACCCCCGCCCCCCACCCCACACCCTCACAACATTTTCAACCCTACACCCTTGCCCCCTGACCTAAAACCTTTACAACCTTAAGCCGCAGACCCTACACTCTTGAAGCCCTAAGCCCAGAAACCTGAAAACCTGACACCCTTGCCACGTAATTTACAAACTTCATATGCCCTCAACCCCAAACCCTGCAACCTCAGAGCCCTAAACCCTAAAAGCTTTTTCAGCCCCTGTAAGCCCCCTTAAACCCTAAACCCTAAAAGCCTTAAAACCTAAACCCTCTAAAGACTAAACCCTGAAACCCTCAACCCCTACACCCGTCCCGTGGAAAGCAGGCTCTCCGAGATGGTCTCGCATCGCTTCGGCGCTGCCACACGGAGACTCCAGGAACTGGTTTAAGATTCAGGGTGTAGGGTTTAGCGGTTTAGGGTTTAGAGGTTAGGGGTTTAGGGTTTTCGGGTTTAGGGTTTAGGGCCCTTAGGGGTTTAGGGTTTAGGGTTTGGACCATGCATGGGTATCGGGTCTAGGGTTTAGGGAGGCTCTGCTTGAATTGAAGTTTAAGGGTGGTGGAGCTGGTGGGGCTGGGCGAGCGGCCGGGAGTTTAGGGTTTGGGGTTTTAGGATATGTATGTATATATGACTACAGATATGTTTGTGTTTGTCTGTCGGTCTGCCTGTCTGTCTGTATGTAAGTATGTGTGTAGCTGTGTATTGTCTCTCTGTTATTTTTCACTCAAAATTCATTGTGGTGTTGTGTTTGGGTTGATGTTTGAATGTAAAGTCCAAAAGGGAAGGCTGATATCCTGCAGCCCCAGAACGCTTTCAGGTTTTAGGGCAAAGCCGAACCCTGAAAACTCAAAGGCCAGATCTGTTGCTTCTAGGGATCGGCGCGTCTATCCACCAAGCCACCATAAAATGGAGGTCCCAGTCTGGACAGTAAAAAATATTATAGGTAAGAACTTCCCTTCATAATCGCCGTGTTGAGAGGTATACTATACCATTGCCCAACACCCCTTTCTGTTTACTCAGGCCCCCCTATTCGTTACCGAATCCTAAATGCAGAAGACTTAACCTCAAACCCTAAACTCTCAAGCGACCAAAGCCTAGATGCACAAGACCCGTAATCTCAAACCCTACACTGTGAGCCCTAAACCGACTAAATCCTAGATGCAGAAGACCTCAGCTCAAACCGTGGAGGATTTCGAGAGTTTTGCTGCCATCCCGCTGGAGGCATGTCTGGGTGTTTGTCCGGGGTTTGGGGTTTAGGGTTTTGGGGAATTTAGGTTGATGGTTTCAGGATTTAGGGTTGACAAGCTTTTGCAAGCCTCTACCCTAAACCCTACTGGTGTAGGTTGCCCAGCAGTGACCTTTGTACCATTTCCGGTATTCTTCCTCTTCAAGTTGAATTCGTAGGCAGAACGACAGCTGAAGTTTTCCGGGATTGCCCGGAAATCACCCAAAAAGCCTAAAGCCTAAAACCGAAAGGTGTATAGCCTGAACCTTAAACTCTAAACCCGGAGCCCGAAAGCCTTAAGAGTAATTCCTAAAGCTCTGATGTTCGGCTTTTGGCTGACTCTCCTTGCATATGTGCTCGGGTTTCAGGATCAAGGCTTGGCTTTGAGCGCCTGTGGTGGTGAGCGCAAGTTTTTTTGCCCCGAGCTCCCAGTCACAAAGACCCGAACCCTGCAGCGCCAAGCCTCAGACAACGAATCTAGGGTCCTAAATAATTACCAATACTGTTCAGGGGTGTTCCTTATAATTTACGGGGAGTGTCGAAACTATGGGGCCCGTTATGTCTTATTTTCTGTAATTAAATGATAGTATACTGGACCCTAAAACCCTAGTAAAAATATTAAGGCCCCTACATGAAGCCCCTAAAGCCCGAAGCCCCAGCTCATGCCCTCAAAGCCTTTTTGCCCTGTGGAGCCGCCTTAAAGAAACCTTCAGGGGAACCCGCATAGGAACCCTAAACCCTAAACCCCTAAACCCTAAACCCCTAAACCCCTAAACCCCTAAACCCCTAAACCCTAAACCCTAAACCCTTAAAGGAACCCGTCTCAAGGCACATCCCGTGGTAGAGCTGCTGGTGGCGGCCTCTGCATCGACTTTTGTGCCTCGAGCTGCCATGGTTTACGTAAGCGGTTGTACAGGTTCGGGGTTCAGGGTTTTTAGGGCTTAGGGTGTAGGATGTTTCAGAAAGAGGTTTGGGAAGGTTGCTATAGGTTTGTAGATAGGGCTTTGTAATAATACCGTTGCAGGTGCTTCCTTGTCAGGGTATACAGGCGTTCCTTCCTGTCCCCTAGGGGTTACCCACGCATTTTTCCAAGGGTTTAAGATGCCATACCTGCAAGACCCTTAAACCAACCCTACCTATAGTCTCCATTCTAGTTCCTTGTTGGGGATACCTTATAAAACCCTTAATATATAATTGGTTACACCAAATAAAGGAACTGCAATGGAGACTATAGGTAAACCCCAAACCCCATACACTCTCAACCCTAAACCGTCTCTTAGGGGTCTTATATATGGGTGGTTGTCAAAATTATGGTCCCTTTTTGGGGGTCCTTATTATAATACGGCACCTATTGTTTAGGGTACCCCAAAAGGGACCCTAATTTTGACAACCACCCATATGATCATACATCATCGGGGCACCAGACTTAGGGCTCCTTCACATGAGGATCCCATCGCCCACAGGGTTGGGCTTTAGGGTTTAGGGTTTAGGGTTCAGGGTTTAGGGTTTAGGGTCTAGGGTTGGGCTTTATGTTGAGAGTTCAAGGCTTACCTTAACCCCGAAAAAGCTACCTTTGGGTATCAATAAATCATATTCAGGAACCCGAAACCCTTGGCATCAAAATAGCCCAGAAGCCTTATCTAATAGGGTCTTTGGTCCCAAAAGCCTTTTATAATAGGGTCTTTTGGGCCCAAAAGCCGTAAAATATGAGTCCTTTGAGGGTAAGGGAAAAGGGTAGGTTTTCTTTAAACCGCTAAGCCCTGCCTCTCTTCTAGAGGGTCTTGATAGTACTTGAGCAGAAAGGCCCATGTCATGGTTCTACCAAAGATGACAGGGGGTTTAGGGCTTAGGGTTTAGGGGTTTAGGGGTTTAGGGTTTAGTTTTAATACCGCCTGTGACTTCGCAGGTAGGAAATGCCATCAGCACTTTCTCCATGAACATACTCATGGACCGGCCAGGGCGTTTGCTGCTTTGCGGTGCGTCGTAGAGCTCGTGGGAATAGCTGTAGGATTTATGGCTGCGGTAGTAGGGCTCATGGGAATAGCTTTAGGGTTTAAAGCCTTTAGGGCTTAGGGTTCCCGTACCTTAAACACTTCGAGATCAGGATTCAGGGGCGTAGGGTCCAGGGTTTCGGATTCGTGCATCGTCTTGTCCTCAAGTTTGACATCTGCGTCTGTGTGTGTGTGTGTGTCTGTGTGTCTGTGTGTGTGTAGGGTTCAGCTTCGTGTGTTTGGATAGCTTCATGTGCCATGGGCGATGCGACACTCCAAACCCTAAACCCCGAATTTGTAATAGAAGGCCAGTTCCCCGGTCTGGCATCGACCGTGTTCATGCCGGTTAGGTAGAAAACCCCCTGTATGAGAAGCCGCAGGACACCCACATTGAGTTGAAGGTTCATGGGGAGCTATAAGTGGGGCTATAAGTCCCTTCAATATGGGTTATAAGTATAATAGTAATTCACCCTACTTATAACAGTTACTTTTAGCTACCCATGAACCTCCAAACCCTACTTGGAGGCCCAGGGGACTTAGTAAGTCGGTTATAAGTAGGGTTATAATTGAGGTAACTACAGTTAGGGTACTTATAACTCTACTTATAACCCACTTACTAAGTCCTCTGGGCCTCCAAGTAAACCCTAAACCCTAAACCCTAAACCCTAAACCGTATGGCCCTCGACCCCCGATCACTTCCGGCCTTTCCCTGACCCCCCCGCGGCAAACGCTGAACACCCCTAGGCCAAAATCCTGAGCCCCAACCAAAAACCCTTAGGGTTTAGGGTTTAGGGTTTAGGGTTTAGGGGCCCTAAACCCCAAACAGAGCCCTAACCCAGGAAGCCAAGATACCTCTAACAGCGCAGCGTTTGAATTTGCAAATGCCCTAAACCCCAAACCCTAAACCCTAATTATAGACCCCTTCTAAGGAACCCTTAAACGACCCCTTTAAACGGAACCCCAAAGAACCCACAGCAAATGCTACGCCAAACCCTAAGCCCTAAATCCTAAAGCCTCAAACCCTAAACCCTAAGCTTATAGTAGCTTTATAGACCCCTTCAAAGGAACCCTTAAAAGACCCCTTTAGCAAATGCTACCCTGCCGGCAGGAGCGAGATCTTCTATAGTCTCATAAAGCCCCTTTCCAACCCCAAGGGTCCCTTTAAGGGTCCCTCCTTTGGTCCCCTGATAAACCCCAAACCCTAAACCCTAAACTAAACCCCAAAGAACCCCAGCAAATGCTACGCTGCCACGGGCAGGAGCGAGATCTAGTCGGCAAAGCTCGGCGTCTCAGTCAGAACAGACTTTGGAAGCAGGGTGTCAGAGGTCTTCTGATCCGGGCTTAGGGTTTAGGGTTTAGGGTTTAAGGCCTCAAGAATATGTTTTCTGTAAGAACTGTTTCATGAGACCCTTGGGTTTTTGAGAGCAACAGATAGGGCCACAGGTGCTTTTAGAAAGCAGTAGGGTTTAGGGTTTAGGGTTTAGGGATCTTCACACTTGGGTTCCTGCTTCAGAGTCCTTATGGCTGGGATCTCATTGATTTGTTTTTTGGGTTTTGGGTTTAGGGTTTTAGCCTAAACCCTAACCCTAAACCCTCAACCCAGAACCCTCAACCCTAAACCCTAAACCGTGTCCTTGCTAGGATCCTGTTATTTGGGATACCGGCGCTTGCTGGTCGGAATGTGGTCTTGCAGCGCACTTTGCCCTGACTGTGCGGTAGCCTACACCCAGACCCCCGGGAGTAGATCCCTTATTGGGAGGTCCGATCTTAGTGGCTGAGTGAGTACACTTTACTTTTTGGGATTATATGATCCCTTATNNAACTGAAAGTGTACACTTTTGGGGGCTTTTGTACTCAGCAACTAAGCTATAAATGAGCTTTAGTAGTATAGGGCCCCACATTGGGGGTTCTACTTTCTAGATCCTCCCGGTGGTCTGGGCAGGGAGACCGGGATACCATTGCTGGTTATAAGTTATGCGGGTGAACCCTCGGCCCTAAACCCTAAGCCCCAAGCCCTAAATCCTAAAGCCTCAAATTCTAAACCTTAAACCCTAAGCCCTAAAGCCTAAAGTCTTAAACCCCAAGCCCTAAAGCCTTAAACTCTAAGCCCTCAACCCTAACCTAGGGTTATTTAGAGGCCCAGGGGATGTAGTAATTGGCTTGTAAGTAGCGTTATAAGTACCCTGACCTGGAGTTAACCCAATTATAACCCTACTTATAACCGACTTACTAAGTCCCCTGGGCCTCCAAGTAGGCCCTTAACCCTAAGCCCTAAATCCTAAAGCCTCAAACCCTGAACCCTAAGCCCTAAACCCTAAAGCCTAAAGCCTAAAGCCTTAAACCCTAAGCCCTCAACCCTAACTTATGGTTATAACGGGCCTGTACAGTCTGTAATGAGATCCAGGAGCACCACCATCTTCCCGGGCTTGGGCAACGCGACGCGCTGGGCCAAGGCGTGGGGATTATTGCAAGGCTTACCTACTATCATAAGTCGTTTTTGTAAGGGTTACCATGATAAGTGTTACAAGGGTTAATATATAAGGGTTGCTAGATTTAGGGTTTAGGGTCTAGGGTTTAGGATTTATGGTTCTGCCTACAGGGCCATAGCATTCCTAACCTGCCAGCACAGCTTCGGTTTATATGATTAGGTTTACACAAACTCATGGCAAGTTCGCAATTCGCTGACTTCTGCTAGTATTATCGAGTAAACTTCTTGGCTTTACATGTCTCCTAGTGAGCCTACCGCTCCGAAGTCAAACCTAATCCAAACCGGAAGCCAGTTTTGAGGCTGACGTCTACCCTGTTCACTCCAGAGCCCTGAACAACTAGTAGTTGGGTCCCCTCACATTCCCATTGAAACTATGGTATCGTAAACCCTAAACCCTAAACCCTAAACCCCAAACAGTATACCCCCAGACCCCAGGCTATTTAACGCCTACCCACTGCGGCCTAAGCTTTTGAAGCAAGGCCCACAGCCCCAGACACCAAATCGCAGCTCTGCACATGATAGAACGTCCTAAACTAGGTTATACTATTACTTTTTCTAACATATGCGGTTTAACATGTCATATAACGTATCAGAAGCGGTGGCAGGCATAGAATCAGCGCGAGCCGCGCCTGGACGAAGCATCACAAGCTGTGAACTTCGCGAACAGCCGAGTCTCTCAGCATGCATGAAGCATTATCCCCTAAGGGTCCATGTGCCCAAATAGCATATACTTTGGCCTTAATGTTGTGCCTACATAGGTACTTTAGGGCCAATGTATATACTATTTGGGTACATGGACCCTTAGGGATCAGAGACTCCGCAGGTGGAGGAAGAGACCTTAAACTCACATTGAGGACCCCTCTATGATCTAAGGCATAGTCCTTACTTGAGGGGTTTGAGAGTCTCTGAACCCCCAACACCACTAACCTAATACCCTGTTGCCCTGTACCTGCACACCCCGAAGCCAGAAGCACCAAAGCCCTGAAACCCTACTACACTCTAAACCCTGAACCCCAAAACCCTAAACTCTGGACCCCTAAACCCTAAACTCCAGACTCTAAACCCAGAACTCTGGAACCCTAAACCCCTAACCCTAAACCCCCAAACCACTAAACCCTAAACCACTAAACCCTAAACCCTAAGCCCTAAACCACTAAACCCTAAACTCTAGACCCTAAACCCTGAACCCCGAAGCCCTAGGCCAAAACCGGCCAGGTCCAGGGTCCATCGAAACCTGTCGCACAAACCCGATTGGGTTTAGGGTTTAGGGTTTTAGGTGTTTAGGGGTTTATGGGTTTGGGGTTCAGGGTTTAGGGGTTTAGGGTTTAGGGGTTCAAGGTTGAGGGGTTTAGGGTTTGGGGTTTAGGGTTTAGGGTTTAGGGTTTAGGGGTTTAGGGGTTTAGGGGTTTAGGGTTTGGGCTTATAGGCATTGGCAACACCCTGAATATCCTTGAATTTCTGACAGGACCAAATGACTCTGAAAAGTAGGGGCCCTATACCCTACTTGGAGACCCAGGGGACTTAGTAAGTCGCTTTTAAGTAGGGAGGGTACTTAGAACTCCACTTATAACCTACTTACTAAGTCCCCTGGGCCTCCAAGTATACCCGAATCCTATGGAGCCCTATATGGTATATGAGACCTAATCCCTTTTAGGGTTCATGTCGTTTTGAAGGTGAGCATGAAGCCTGCAGGCGCAAATTCTCAAGCCGTAAACCCGAGTAGTGAGATGGCAATACAGGAATATATCAAAAAAACGCATAACTCTAGGCTGCTGTGTGGACATAACAGACTACCCTAGTAACATAGTAGTAGTCAAAGTAGGGTGGTGTTGTAGGTGCAGTAGTCTAGAAGCATCTTGGCATAGTAGATGTATCGCAGGGCAGAAGTCAAGTCTAGCAGTGTAGCAGATGTCAGAGATATAGATGATATACTACAGCAAGGTTACATGCCCTTCAATCCTGAACCCGCCAATCCGAACCCATACATGCAGTCGCACTCTGACCAAAACGCTCAACACAAAATAGTTTTGTTTCCTTGGTTGAACTTTACAATCAATTTATAGCTTTATCACTTTTAGGATTAGCTTTTTTGGATATTAGGGGTACTAAAAGTTAAAATTTTTAGCAAGGTAAAAAAAGAGCAACCCAGTTTCCAGCTCCAGCCAAGGACGACCGCTACAATACCAAGGCGAAGCTTTGCAGACCACTACAATCGAGGTCCTCAAGGACGACGACTCCATCGCCAGTAGGCCGCCACCGTGCCGAGATAAAACGGGCCATGGTCTACAAGACGGCCGTGACGTAGGCGTCGGAAGCTGGTGTCGTGTGGCCTAGATGTTTTCTGGCTGTTATTGTTGATCTCCACAAGCCATATCGTACGCCGTAGTTGTCATGTTTTTTGTTTTTAATTCAGTCTTTGTCACATCTGAGCACATGTTTCAGGCGTCTGTGTAACTGTAGCATAGCTGTTGTGGCACAAATGATGAACTTTGCTGAAAGGCTTTGTGTCATGCCGCTTGTCATTGTCATATGTGTTTGTGGTATATCAAAATCAACAAACGTATTAAACCACACAGGCCAAAACATAATCATTCTCCTCGAGACAGTCCCAAAAAACAAAATAGTAAAGAGTTCGGAAGCTCTCGGGACCGGAAATGTGAAACCAGCATATTTCACGAGACTGTCCCAAAAACAACAAACGTATTAATACTCATAGGCCAAAACATAAGCATTCTCCTTGAGACAGTCCCAAAAAACAAAAATACCAACGAGTTCGGAATCTCTCGGAAGTCTGAAATGAGCATATTTCACAAGACAGTCCCCGCAGAAGCAAAAATACCAAAACCCATAGGCCAAAACATGAGACAGTCCCAAAAAGCACAAAACAGCAAAGAATCAGACATATCAGAGCTATTCCCAGGAATGCAAAAATGAGGACAACATACAATACTTGGCTACTACAAACACTACATGCTCGGACTCCGGAGGGGGGGTAGTGTGTGTATATATATATATACAGATATGTCTACACATATGTACACATACAACTGTGTATATGTGTGTATAAGAAATTCTAAATAATAGCGTGTTGAAACTGCTAGCTACCTGCTGCTTATAAAGTTACTGACTTGCAGGCCAACATACGCAACATACATGCCCAGACGGATCATGCGCGCATGCATGCAGTTTTGGAGATGTTCTACTTTGCCATACGTCAGGTTTACATCACCAGGATTAAAGTTTCGTCGCACTTGGCTAGATCATCTTGCGGAGGACGCGGAGTACTTAGAAGTGCATTTTACATGGCCTGGCTAGCGGAGGAATTAACCCACCGGAATAAAATGGTACTATTAAGAATGCTCCGGCCGGAGGACTGGGTGGAGGAGTCTACGGGGAAAAGGGGTTTGTGTCGTGTTCAAGAGCGCATACAGAGTGCGACGAACTTTCGTCCCACCGCAGTATGATGCATCAGCCGAACCCTTTTGTGTAAGGCATTCTAAAAGACTGCAGTAGACTGCTGTCCATGTCTACTTGGCACTGCTCGTTAGTCCTTGTGATATGGCGCTCGGTATGCTTAGTATGCAACACACGCCCTCTTTCGGTTTCTCTCTCAGTCGCTTGTCTGTTAATGCACAAAGTATCTACCCTAAACCCTAAACCCTAAACTAGAATATACGAACTTGTTCGCCATGTTGCGCATCACTGCTTACACAGCCTCAGGAGCCTTGCCAGCACCAAATTTCGAAGGTATCGGGTCTTTAGTTGCATTATCAAGAAGTTTAGGCCCTTTCTTAACCCTAAATCACCTACCTTTTAAGGGACCTATATAAGGAAACCATAATAAGAAACAAAAACCCTTAAAAGTGTGTGGTCTATAAGGGTCCAAGTAGTGCTTGCGAGCTTCATCTGGCTTCACGGGCCTCGCCCTCTCGCGCGCACGACTTCTGCCATCCCGATGCAAGTTTCCGTCAACCCAGGTTTTCAAGGGACTAAAGGAGGGACCCTTAAAGGGACCCTTGGGGTTATATAGGGGCTTTCTGAGACTAGATAAGGGGGAAAAAAAGGTTATATCGGGTATTTGGATTAGGGGTCCCTTCTAGGGGTCCCTCCTATTGTCCCTAAAGGTTTATACTCAGAGACACCAAAATCCTCAACGAGGGGGTAGTTTCCCGTCAAGTGACTCAAGTTATATAGTAATGTAATGGCCTCAATAACTGGAATAGGGTTTTGGGGCCCATTATACTTTAAATTATAGTAGGGAACCCCAAAATAGTATTGATATTCAGCGAAACCCCTACGTTAATGACCGTTGACAAAAACCTTAACATGAGTGATTTTGGAGTCTTTGGGAATGGTGCGGGAACACCTTGTGGGTAGTTCTCTGAATTAGGGTCCTTTTATAAGGGTGCCGTACTATAGTGGGGACCTAATAAAGGACCCTAACTTAGAAAACTACCCTTGTGCATGTGTCTGTAGACAGCAGCAACCCAGCTACCCAAGTCGAAGTTGTTGTTCATGAGCATTTTGGTTTTGTAGGCTGTAGGGTTCTACGTGAACGGAGGTCGCTGGAGTGGCCATTGCAACGAAAGCAGAAGCTTCAGCTGGCCCAGAACGTCAAAGCATCCCTCAAGTGGGGAACCCCTAAACCCTAAACCCTAAACCCTAAACCTTCCTGCACGACTTCTATCGTCCTCAGAACTCTTAACTTGTTTGTGTTCCTCAGCTTATATAGACGAAGGCCCACCTTGATCCTTAAACCCTAAGCCCGTAGCCCAATGTAAGTTTACGGATGTGTGTGTGTGTGTGTGTGTGCGCTTCAGTTTTAGGGAACTGGAGTCTACTTGGAGGCCCAAGGGACTTAGTAAGTAGGTTATAAGTAGAGTTATAAGTCCCCTAACTGGAGTTGACCCATTTACAACCAAACTTAGAAATGAGGGAGGGGAGGGAGGCGTCTGTACCAGTTTGATACGGGGGATTCTCGGGTTTGGGGGATTCGGGTTGAGGTGTAGCGGTTAGGGCTTTAGGGTTTAGGGGTTTAGGGTTTAGGGTTTAGGGTCTAGCCTATAGGGGTCATGGTTTCGAGCTGTGGGGTCATCCGGGTTTCGTATGGTTTGGTCTAAACTCCTTGGATCCAAGATGAGATGTTGAGAAGATCTATGGGTTAGGGTGTATCGTTGAGATCGTTGAGGGTTATCGAACTCATGGTTTCCGGTTCAGGAAGACGAAGTATTGCTCTTTACAACTGAGGAGAAGCTTCTGGCAGCCTCGTCTGTGGGTGTGTGGGTTGTTAGGGTTCCAGCAGGGGGTACACGGTTTAGGGTTTATGCAAGCAGTCATGGGACAATCCAGAAGCGAATCACTTGTGGATGAACTACAGAAAGAGCAATATGACGGCTCAGAGCCATTAAAGAGATCTGTGCTCAGGGTTTAGGGTTTAGGGTTTAGGGTACAAGGTTGACTTTCAGTCCAAGAAGATTTAAGACGTCGACTTGCAGTCGCTGGGTGAAATCTTCCTACTGAGGCCTCTGATCCTCGCAGCAAGAAGATGTAGGGCCCGCGACCCTTGCATCTTAACTGGTGTGCGCACGTGTTGCATGTGTTTCAGAAGCTC